AATTGATGCTCCTGGGTGGGTGTCCCAAGACAGCACACCCCAACTCAAGAAATTTCTTTATTCATACACTTACACACTCAAATAATTCATACAGATCCAGTTTTATTCTTTTTATTGATTGCTTCTGAGCTCCTTGCTTCTTATTTGAAGTAGTGCCCAGGCTCCATCCTCTTCCATTGTTTGGAAGAAGTTGGTGAGTTGGTGGTTTCAGTCTCCTCCTGCCAGCATGACCCTCTGCCTGTTTCTTCCCTAATTTTGGCAGTTCCAGACAGTTTTCATGGTTTGCCCATCAAACCCACAGTCCTTAACTTCTGTTTCTGACAGGAGTATGCTGCTTATTAACCAAGCCACATTGTCTAAGAGCTAATTGCTAAATCTAATTTCAGATTAATCCTGTCAGATGGCTATTTCTCTCCTTTTTTAGGTAAATAATGAAATAGGATTGAGGCTGTACCAAGGACCTTTAGCAGTGGCAGGTTTTTTGGTTGGTTGTTACCTTTCACTAGTATATAAACATGAACACAAGTTGTACCCGTTGTCAGAGGGCCCTGGGAGGGATTTCTCACAACACCTCTGTGCCAGTGGCACCTGCCAGTGGTGACAGAGTGTTGTGACTGTGGTGCAGCCACTCCAGATAAGGGCACCTGGCAGCACAGGGTGCCTTGGTGACTGTTGAGATCCCAAAAATGTGTCAGAAAGAGGGGAGAAGGGTGGCTTACGTTTTGCTGAGTGGTGTAAAAAAAATCATGGTGTTTTGGGAAAGAATTTGCAAAGTTAGGGAAACTTAACCTGACCATTTGAAGGGTTCCTCAGGCTTGAAATTGGAAATGATTTGTACTTTACCTACAACAGAGATTTGGATAGAAACAGCCTTTTGTTCCAGACATTGGACTCTGCAGTTTCCTTAATAAGACAATTGGATTTTGTGTTTTCACAGCAGAAGCTTAATTTTTACTTGGAGATTGGAGGGGGGGAAGTGAGGTGGGGGTAACAAGTGCCAGCTTTCCTGGCTGCTGCTTTGCTGCTCTTGCCAACAGGCCAGGTTGGGAATGAATGTAACAAATACCTGCTAACAGCTGCTGAGCCATGTGGGAGCCTGGGGAAGGTTGTAGGGGGAACAGGATGGCAATGGCAGCAATGTGATTTCCATGGTCTGCTAGAGCTGGAGACTAATACTGCACCCTCCTGTAAAGGCAGGAGGAGGCCTGAGGCACGTGGTGGTGATTAAAGGTGTCACTGGCCTCCTGGTTTGGCCAGGAGTGCACGAGGTGTTGGTTCCAGGACAGAGTTATCAGTGTCCCTTCAAATTCCAGAGCCAGGGACAGCAGAGTTGTTTTTTTCCAGCATTGTGAAATATTTTCAGGCTCATTTGAAAGCATTGGTGAATTAAAAAACTATAAAGTAGCACTCCAGAAGTCTTCAGTACTGTATCTTTTGTGGAAATGATGGTTTGTTGTATGGGAACATCTACAGCAGGCTCACCTGCCAGAAATGGTGCTCCTTTTGGAGGCAGAGTGCAAAAAAACCTCCTTGACTTGACCTGCAGAGACTTTCCTGGGCTCTGTTCACTCTGGTGGGGTTGTCTGTCCATGGGTGACTCCAGGATATAACTGATCCTTCCCATCACAGACCTTCCTTAGAGAAGTTTAAGGGCAGAGGCTGTGGCACCTTCAGCTTGCAGATGGAGGGGATGGAAATGATGCTGAGAGAGAAGCCTTGGATCTGGCACATCAAGTTCTCATAGAAAAGCCCCTCAAGGGGCTGTTCTGTCCTGCTCCCTGCAGGGTAGGGAATGTCTTGAACTACACCTCTGGGCACTGCTGGACTAAACTGCTGGATCCTGAGCTTGCAGTCAGCTCACCAGCAGGGACTGCCCATTGTGGGAGGATGTTGTGTCTCTTTATACCTTGTGGGCACTTCTCTTTGCTCCCCAGCTTTAAAATAGCTCTTACACTGGCCATTCCAGCAGGGGAGGAAGAGGAAGATGCTTCCTTTCTGTAAGAAAATAACTGCTTTTGGGAACATGTGCTCTCCTCACTCTGCTCTCAGCACATCCCAAGCTCCCTCTGGATTATCTCCCGTTCCACCTTTACACCTAGTGAGTGATAATATCTCACAGGGTTCATCTCAGGCATCTCTCAAGACTTCAGATCCTTCCTTGTGTCAGTCCCACTTGGCCCACGTACTATTCCTTTGTAGATTTCTCTTTTAATCAGGTGTGGTAAGTACCCACCTACATTTAATGAGTCATTGGCCTGGGTTTGCCACTTCCCAGGGGTTGGCACCTGCTGGCGTGGGTGTTTGGAGGGAAACAGCCTGTTAGGCATTTGTCAAGGATTTCTGAGAAATAAGCTGCTCAGATTTGCTCCCTGGAGACTAGTCTTAAATTGTGGTTTTTGTCCCCAAAAGCTTCTTGGCCAGCACACCGAGTGACTGCAGCGTGAAAATAAGTCTGGAGAAGTCTTGTAGTATCACATGGAGTGGTTTCAAATCATGAAAGCTTGAGAAGAAAAACTTGGCTGAATTTTCAGTGCCTCTTAACCAGGGCTAAGTTGTTCCCTCTGGGTGCCTGGTTTGAGGCAAATGACCTTGAAGTAGCTCTGTAGAGTTGCCCACCCTTTATTTCTCAGGGAGAGTTCATCTCTCCTTGGGATAAGGAGGAATTCTCCTCTTTTACAGCAAAGAGAGTTCTCTCTGGCTTTTAATTTCCTCTCTATTATACGTGTTAAACAACAGGCATATTTCTGGGTTATCTGTTTTCCCAAAATGCATGTCACTTTCCCCAAAAACAACTGTTTGAGTTTGATCTCCTGCTGGCCAGGTTTAACTCAGACGCTGCCTGAAGCTAATGCCCCGGTATGTTTTTGTTCAGTAGGTTATTATTCCCAGATGGAAGTCTAATATCTTACACCATTTGCTTCAAGCCTTGGCTCTCCACTTCCAATATGGTGAAGATAATTTCTTCAAGCACATGGTTGTAATTTATTGCCCTTTGCTTGACGTGTGTGTGCACGACTGATTGGAATCAAAGCGTCGTGAAGAGCAGGGCATCTGGTTCAAGCTATCTTATTTTAGATTCTGTGTTCCGTTGTTTTGGGTTGGAGATAATCAGGGCTTTAATTAAGTAATCTAATGGTTCTTTGTTGTCTGGAAGAAATAATTTCTGAAGTGATTAAACAGACCTCCCTGGGCGAGGATGCTGCTCGTCTGAATG